GTAGTATGAAAAATATACAGTATTTTTACATCACAGTATTTGAAAAAGTATGTTCTTTTTCTGATTTAGATAACATTTTATATCAATACAGAGTTGTTCTCCAGTCTCTCTTCAAAGCAAGCCCAGAACCCTATCCACATTTTATAGATGAACATATTGCTTTACATGCAGTTTTTTGCACTTCTCAAACATATGTCTAAAAACTTAGTTGCTGGCAATATATAATGGTAATTTCTGGCAAGTGCTAAAATAAACACATATTTTGAGTTGTTAATGCAATACTTACTTAAATGCAATTCTATGACTATTGCTGGGCATACATGGATCAGAAACTGAATGAATTCCCCCATCCACACAAGCAAGGTAGTTGAGGAAATCCTCCCTGCGTTGTATTGTATTCTGACAGTAGGTACCCCACCACATTGCAGTCGATTGACTCTAGCACTGACTGAAGGAAAATTTTTCAACAAGCCGGTTCAAGAAAAATCGATTGTTAGGTCGTAGGTAGATTGAAATTTGGCCTGTCCCTGCTAAACCGGCTAAATTGTGATCCAACTATGGCCAGTTTATCCAATTTAGATATTTGTCGATTAGCCTTGAGCAGTGGTGGTCAACCTAAAAATTACAGAGGGCCTCAAATGGGGCCCCTAACAAGTCCAGAAGGCTGCACAATAGCAGGACAGTTTCATACCTCAATGCCCAAAAATGTTGGTCCTGCTGCATTTTTTGAAGTGCATCACACTGCACACTGAAGTTGGAGTACAATAACCCTCAGCCTTGGTGCAATGAGTGCAGAACTAATCCCCAGCATTGGTGTCAGGGAGTGTAATAATAGCCCAAAGCACTAGTGTTATTACTATTAACTCCCACCTTGCATGGGTGGTCAGTAGCAATGCAATTTAATCCCCACATGATTTGACACCATTGGAACAGACCGGATTTGTCAAATGATTGCTACAGTCACCTTACAATACCATTTCGCATATGTTAAAAACCTTTACAAGGGTATTATTTGCGAGTTTTGCATAAATAATGCTTCACTTACACAGCAATTTATTTATAAATATACTTGGCAAAAAAAGTAAAAAGATTATTGAACTAAGCCCTTATTATAAATCATCATTTTTGGCAAATAACAAGTCTATACTGAACGAGGGTGCGTTTCTCTACGCACCTTCTGGCCAGTTGATGAATCTAAAATACAGCCTTCATTCAAATATATAAAAAATGTATGCTCAGCTGTAATTAATGCCTATTGGAGTGGAATATATATATATAACTGAATACCATTGCAGTTGTTTACCTTACATCCAAATGGTTAATACCACCAGACTAAAATCAAATACCACACCATTTTAGATGAAGTGACGGCATACAAGGAGGTAATGTAGTTTGATCATAAGCCTATCAGCTTGGATATATAATCTCAGTTAAGGAAATGGAGTTACCCCATGGACAAACTAATTGAATAGAATAATCTATCTTGCTACAGATATGTAATACGGGTACACCCATCCACAGGCTTAAATGTCAGCCGCTCATGGAAAAGCCCCAAACATCACAATATCCACCAAAAAATACCTCACTGTCTTGAGGAATGCAAGTGATGCACTGTAAAATGCAGTACAGACCCTCTCCAACAAAAGGGGGGGGGGGGGGAGAGGAGTGAATACCATGTGCATTCAAAAAGTGCTCCCAAAGAAAGACCCAAAGAAAACAAAAAGACTCTACATGTTTCGCTACAGAAAACAGAGCTTCGTCAGGAGTATAAAAATTAAAATAGGTCACATAGTGGCTGGAAGTTGTGCTCAGCTGCACATGGTGATACAATGTAAAAAGATCATAAAACAATAGGTTTGAGGCAGCCATACTAGCAGTAGTATAAGCTATATATATATATATATATAATTTTTTTTTTTTTTCTTGAAGATTTATTTTAATACCATTAAAGTGGTAGTAAACCTCCCAAAAAAAATTCTAAAAAAAATTTTTCTCTGCAAGTTAAGAGCATAATTTATTAGTGTGCATTGAATACTAGATTATAAAAGACTTACCTGAAAACGAAGCCCTCCAGCGGAGCGCTGTCATAGCTCCCCGAGGCTCCCATCCTCATCCAGTCTTCCTTCCGGGTTTGCGAGCTGCAGCCATTTGATTGGCCGCGCCGTGATGCTGTTTCAGCCACACAGCATGGCTCTCTCAATGGACAGCACGCCATCCATTGAGCGCACAGTGCGCATGCGCTGGTAACATCACCAGCGCTTCTACAGTAAATATCTCCAAAACGGTGCACACTTTGGAGGTATTTACAGATACCAAAGTGAGTTTACTTCCACTTTAATACCAAGGGAAGAAATAAAATAGTTAGAAATAAAAACTATGTTCTAAAATGTTCTAAAATAATTAAAAAGAATATCACTAACCTTACAACAAAATATGATATTCCAAAGTCTGGTACGGATTGCCAGTCCTGAATAAAAACGTAGTTTTGCTTCTACTAGAGAAATCTGCGCTATATTCTGATAGGCCTCCAGGATACGAGGGGATAACTAGGGTAAAAATAGAACATTATTTTGAACCGATGCTCCATGTGTTCTCTTGACCTAAAACAGCACACACCATACAAAGATCACTAAATCATTTAGACTGGGATCCGTGTATAATTTTTCCCCTTGCCTGTTTAAGTTTGAGCTTCTTCTGGTAACGTGGTGACACCAAAGCAAGCATGTTGATGGATTCAGCTGCAGTGTTTTCATTGGATTTCTGGAGGTCTAAGAAGGAGAGAATGCTTTGTACTTCTGCATCATAAGAGGGATCACCCATAGTGCGTCCTTTAGCAGCCAGACGGCATCCAGACATCCATTGTGCATATTGCTGCTCCTAAAACAGATACAAAATGGTAGAGGATATAGATTGTGGCACATGCAATATACAGTATGAATCACTGTATGTTATACGGAGAGATAAGTGGAGTGTTTTCAGCACAAGCTGAAACCAGCTTCATACTCATTGAGCTTCAGAGGTGGCATTTGCTAAAAAAAAAATCCCAATAACTTCTTTTTTTTGTGTATGTAGGGCAGTTAAGTTTATGTCATTGTTTTTTGTGTCATTTTTTTTTTTTATTCCTATTTGTACTGTGGCTTTACATTTTTTCTTTTACATTTTTTCAGTCAGTTTTATGAGAAAAAAAAAATATAAACATAAAATAATGGAACCGTTTTTTGGCAGAAGAACAGGTTCAGAATAGTTAAAATGAAATGCTGTAACCCTCAGGAGTTCTAAAAATTTAAAGCGAGATAAGGAAAGATAAATGGAGTTTTTTTTCCGTAAAAGCTGAAACCAACTTCATACTTATTGAGTTTCAAAGGTGGCATTTGCTTAGGAAAAAAACAATAACTCCTCCTTCCTTTTTATAGGATGTCTTTTTTGATTTTTTTTTTTGTGTATTTAGGGCAGTTAAGTGTTTTTTATTTCATTGTTCTTTGTATGTGTCATTTTTCTTTTTTTATTTCTATTTGTACTGTGGATTACATATTTTATTCTACTTTTTTTCACAATCAGTTTTATGAGGAAAAAAAATATAAACATAAAATAATGGAACCATTTTTTGACAGAAGAACAGATTCAGAATAGTTGAAAGGAAATTCTGTAACCCTCAGTTCTAAAAATTTAAAGGCCATTACACTCTTCATCAAATTTTCAAAACCACCCTAATTACATGCCAAAAAAATTAAAGCTGCTATATACACTCACCAGCCACTTTATTATGTACACCTGTTCAATTGCTCAGTAACACAAATTGCTAAGCAGCCAATCCCATGGCAGCAGCTCAATGCATTTAGGCAGCTAGACGTGGTTAAGATGACTTACTGAAGTTCAAACCAAACATCAGAATGAGGAAGAAAGGGGATTTAAGTGACTTTGAACCTCGTTGTTGGTGCCAGGAGGGTTGGTCTGAGTATTTCAAAAAACTGCTGATCTACTTGGATTTTTATGCACAGCCATCTCTAAGGTTTGTAGAGAATAGTCAAATAAAGAGAAAATATCCAATGAGCAGCAGTTGTATGGACAAAAATGCCTTGTTGATTTCAGAGGAGAATGGGCAGACTGGTTTGAGATGATAGAAAGACATCAGTAATTCAAATAACCACTTGTTACAACCAAGGTATGCAGAATACCATCTCTGAACGCACAACACGTTGAACCTTGAAGCAGATGGGCTACAACAGCAGAAGACCACACTGGGTGCCAGTCCTGTCAGTTAAGAACAGGAAACGGAGGCTGCAATTTGCACAGGCTCACCAAAATTGGGCAATAGAAGATTGGAAAAATGTTCCTGGTCTGATGAGTCTCAACTTCAGCTTCAACATTCAGATGGCAGGGTCATAATTTGGCATAAAGAACATGAATGCATGGATCCATCTTTCCTTGTATCAACAGTTCAGGATGGTGGGTGGTGGTGGTCTAATGGTATGGGAGATATTTTCTTGGCACACTTTTGGCTCCTTAGTACCAACTGAGCATTGTTTAAATGCCATGACCCATGTGAGTATTTTTGCTAACCATGTCAGTCACTTTATGACTACAGTGTACCCATCTTCTGATGGCTACTTCCAGCAGGATAATGCAGCATGTGACCAAGCTCAAATAATCTCAAACTGGTTTCTTCGAACGCGACAATGAGTTCAATGTACTCCACAGTCACCAGATCTCAATCCAATAGAGCACCTTTAGGATGTGGTGGAACAGGAGATTCGCATCATGAATGTATAGGCGACAAATTTGCAGCAACTGCGTGATGCTATCATGTCAATATGAACCAAAATCTCTGAGGAATATTTTCAACACCTTGTTGAATCTATGCCATGAAGAATTAAGGCAGTTCTGAAGTCAGAAAAGGTTATAACCTGGTACTAGCAAGGTGTACCTAATAAAGTGACCGGTGAGTGCAATTAGTTTGTCTAGCTCATTTTTCTACTTTGGTTGAGACTTACATTTTCACATCGTAGATAAACTTCATTCATTCCTTCTGGAGAAGGAACCAGGAGTCTAATACAGAACTTTTGCGACGCAACATTAACCTCTGGAATAACTTCACATCCTAGAGGAGCAGAAAGTAAGGAGAAGCATCATGTTGCTTATTATATATTTTTATATTTTAAATTATGATATACAAAGTTGGTATATATGTAACAAAAAACTATAAAAAAGAGCACCAGCCCAAATTAATAAAACTACATCAGGGGGAAAAAGAAGCAGCCCTTCAAAGTGTACAAACACTCTGAAAAATCAAATAACAAATCAAGGGCACTATTCGCAATGTTAATTATACATATAAAAAAAAACACAGTGCATAATTACAAATACTGTGTCTAATCTCACTACATAATCACACAAAGTTCATTCAAAGTCAATAATCCATGCAGTGATTTCATAAATATAACTCTCTCTCTGCCGTGTGCCCAAAACCAGTGAAGATATAAAAGAATCCAATATTCATCCACTACATGTGATAAGGTAGGCAACTTACCAAATGCCTACCATTGTGAGCATAATACTGTATATATTCCCAAAGGTGATATCATCAAATTGGAAGACGGTCAGGAGTCAACACAGGCTCTTTTGTGTAACAAGGGATGCTACCTTAAATGTACTCAAAAAAGAAAAAATATTGCTCCCATAGTGTAATCAGTTTATTAAAATTGGGAAAATAATGGCTAAAAGTGCACTCACATGACAATGTGCCCCAAGGAACTCAAACACAGCATGGGATAGATGATCAACACTACATACAAGCTGGCGTGCATTCCACGGGTAGAATCCAACCCATGACTTGGAATAGGGACCTGAAGTGACGACAGCGGCCATGCCTCCATCCATGCATTTCGCTGAATCGTGTCATCTATCCCATGCTGTGTTTGAGTGCCTTGGGGCACATTGTCTTGTGAGTGCACTTTTAACCACAACTTTCCCAATTTGAATAAACTGACTACACTATGGAGCAATATTTTTTCTTATTCGATGTATTACAAGAGAGTTATACTAAAGAGTCTGTGTTGATGCCTGACCATTTTCCAATTTTCCAATTTGATGACATCACCTTTGGGAGTATATATTATGCTCACAATGGTGGGCATCTGCTAAGTTGCCTACCATATGGTACACGTGGTGGATGGATATTTTGGATTCTTTTATATCTTCACTGGTTTTGGGCACATGGCAGAGGAGAGTTATATCATGAAATCACTGCATGGACTATTTATTTTGAACGGACACTTTATTTATGTTATTTGCAAGATTATGTTGTGAGATTAGACACAGTATTTGTAATTATGCACTGTGATTTTTTTTTATATGTATAATTAACATTGGGAATAACTCCCTTGATTTGTTATTTGATACATGTAACAAAATCTAAACAAAAATTAATCAAGGATAAACTGCAAGCAATGTTTCCATTGCTCTTTAGGTCCCTTTCACACGAATGTTCCAATTGGGTCTGCCTGTCCTCTATTCTCCTTTATGGAGCAGATCAGATTGGATGTGGACACATGTCCGTTTACACTTTCTGACATCCAATCTGATCCTCAAAAAGGAGATGGATGGGGATCCGTTCCCCTTCCGTCCATTGGATGGGATGGCAGTTAGATGGAAACGGACAGACGGTTCTTTTCCATCTGACCGCCCATAGAGGACAGCGGGCTGTGTCTGCTCTGCATAACTGCAGCAGACACATACCTGTCATCCGTTTGCTCAGTGGAGATCATCAGACAGATTCCCAACTGAGAAAACGAATGCGCTGAAGGATTCACCCCATGAGAAATCGGCCTTAGGTTATGTAGGAAAGCAAATCCTATGTTGCCATTGCACAGCATAGCCTATTCTCCATATGTATGCTAGGCATACAAAGAAAACTTCTATAATTAGTTTATTTACAAATTGCTATTAATAATCACTGCACTTACCAGTGTAGCAGCAACTATGGGGATACCAGGTAAACTCCGGACATGAACTTGAGGAAAACAAACCTTTTATTTAACCAGCGCTGGTTGAGACTTTGTCAGACTCATGTCTGCAAAGCTAAGTGGCTTCAAAAACATCTCACAGGTATACATATTAACAATTATGTCACAATGAATATTTTTCTTCTTTCACTTTCTGTACATTCAAAAGGCTTTCTAAACTGTGCAGTATATGGCCTTGAATGCCAGCTGCAGATAAGGATACCAGCTACAAGCTGGAACACATTATTTCACAGAAAATAAGGGAAGGGGGAATTGAGCTAGTGACCTTGGTTTTGCAAACAGAGGCTGCTAGAAGTGTTAGAGTTTAAAGGGGAATTCTGCAATATCTGGGTGCTGCCACACCAGCACTCCCCATTACTGGAAATAAGATGGTACCAAACATTATAAGTACCATCCAATTTTCATTACAAAAGCCTTGATATATTGATAAACTCCCAATATTTGGTATTCACTTATTATAATTAAAACTCAAGCTGTACTATCTGACAGTACACATAATGACGCCTTATCTGCAAGGGTTCCTTTTTTTTTTTGTAGGTTATTACCTTTCAGGGCCAGGAGAATCAGTGGCTCCCCTCTGGCCTCTTCTTTGCTTTTATAACAAGACACGTTGGTTCCTTTCAGCATCACCCAGTTTTGTTTATATCCTTTCAGAGTCATTTTTCGTGGCCTAGAAATAATATTATATATTGTTTACATAACACAAGCCCCCTAACCACAAGGCAATAATAATATGGAGAGGACACATAGTCACCTGAACACTCGCAGATACTCTTGAAGTTCTGGCTCAAGTGCAATGCTTTCCTGTTAAAGAGGCAGATCAATGTAAACTTACTAAAATCCAATTTTTTTGCTTTGCAGCCTTAAATGAAGACAGACACAGTTTTTGTTTTATCCAGCTGCATTTACTCAGTGCAATGTATAACATTCAAGTGAAGGATAAAACACGAATATGTCAGAAATTTTTTTTTACAAATTCAAAAACAGAATCACTGTTGGAAAAAAGATCACCCGTCTCCTAAAAAAATGACTTGTAAACTCAATCAGGTGTAGCTAATCACCTTCTCAATAACACACAAAGACATTTGACTTTCAACTGTTATCAGCTGTGGTCATTTTGATTAAGGCTCCTTTCACACTGTTGTTCTGATCAGGTCCACCTATCAGTTTTTCAGGCGGACCCAGTAGGACCATCCATAGACCTCTATGGACCAGTGGGTGTCAGCGGACAAGTGTCTTCTGACACCCACCGGCATCCAATCCGATCCTGTATGCCAGTGGTTCTCAAGCTTCCTAATGCCGCGACCCTTTAATACAGTTGCTCATGTTGTGGTGACCCCCAACCATGAAATTATTTACCCAGTAATTATAATTCATGAAGTGTATTTTTACCTCCAATACTGCTGCTTTCAGCACAGTAGCTGCTTTCAGCACAGTAGCTGCTTTTAACAGAGTAGCTGCTTTCAACACAGTAGCTGCTCTTTACACATCAGAAATATGTGTTTTTCTGATGATCTTAGGCGACCCCTGTGAAAGGGTCGTTCGAACCCCAAAGGGGTCACGACCCACAGGTTGAGAACCACTGCTGTATGCCAAAAACAGACGGATGGGGATCTGTACGCCAAAAACAGACGCATGGGGATCTGTTCCCCATCCATCTGGTGGATCGGATCCGATGGCAGTCAGATGGAAACGGACAGGTGATCCATTTGCATCCGACTGCCCCATAGAAGACGGCGGGCAGTGTCTGTGTCCGCTCTGCTCAGCAGCAGAGCGGACACGGACCTGTCATCCGCCTGCTCAGCGGAATCAGAGGGGAGAGATCCCCCACTGAGCAGGCGGATCCTGCTGATGGGTGTGCCCCATATGAAAGGAGCCTAACTCAGCATGGGGGTGATTCTTCTCTATAGCCACTGTATGTTACTTTGTGTAACATACTGTTGATGGTTGTACTAGGATGGAAAACACTGCAGTAACACACAAGGCAACACTATAACATACAGATACTATATGTCTCTGAGTTTGGCACTTGAATGTGCACAAGCAGGGTTTTTTTTTGGGGGGGGGGGGGTCTAAAGATAGCCATTTTTCATCCAAATGAAGCAAGAAGCTTTTACATTTCTTTGCACGACCATATAATGCATACAGCAATCTAAGCAACCATACTAACTGCAGAAGAGGAATTTCTGAGTCAGAGTGTATAGGGAGGGTCAGGCTCTGTAGCTGACTCATACAGATGAAACTGGTTGCATTAAAGTTGTGTGCAGTGGCATTGATTGACACCACCTTGTAGTCAAGGAGGCATATATACAACAGTTACGGGTCTTGGGGAAGCAGACATGAAATGTGTCTGCACATTGCACTAGGGAGAAGAGATAGAGAAAATTAAAGTGATATTAAACCCTGGGTTTTTTTAAGTACTTTCAGCAGCTAATTGCTGATTTAACCACTTACTGTTATGTGGCTGCTTTATCTTTTAATTCAATTCTAGCCTATGTTTTAATTTGCGCTGGTGCCATGACCGCTTCCAAGGTTTACTGTTTCAGGGTGGCTCCCCTCTTTTGCAGCATCCTATGGAGCCAACCTTGCATGCAGGGTCTAGAGTTGTGTTTCCCTGCACTGTGTGCATCAATACAAACACACAGCCCCCTTAGACTAGCATGGCAAGGCACTTCCCTGCTCTTCCCTCCTCCCTCCCTCCAAACTAACAGACTGGCTGGATACTGCACTGCCCACTGTTTCCTGTGAAGACCAAACGGAGCAGGAGCCAACAGCTCTGAAAGTTGTAAACTGCAAGTGCTAGGGTAAACTTGTTAACAAATAGTTTACTAAGGAATATTTATTTTATTGTGTTCGATTTGTTAAGCTACAAAAATGCTGAAGGCTTAATAGTAGTACTTTAAGAACAACATGACTGTCCACCAATTACCAGTGGGAGAAGCCAATGTAACAGAAACAGGTAAGGCTGGAGTACCACTTTAAAGTGATTGTAAATTCCCTTTTTCTTTAATACTAAACATGTTATACTTACCTGCTCTGCCCTAGGCAGGAGCCCGGGTCCTTCACTGCCCAACCCCCCCCCCTCCAGAGTGCCCACCATAGCAAGCCATTTGCTATGAGGGCACTCATGAAAACTTGCTCCCAAGACACACGTAGAGGCGATTCCACCATGCCCTATGCTCACTCCTTACTGACTGTGATTGCCATTGGCTCCTGCAGCTATCTCTGAACCTGTGAGAAGGAGGAGAGCCGAGAGAGACACTGCTCCCATGTGCAGCGCTGGATCGGATCGAGATTGGACTGAGGTAAGTATAGGGAGGAGCGGGGGGCTTGGGGAAACTGCACTTAGAAGGGTTTTTATCTTAATGCAGAGAATGCAATTTGTTAAAAAAAAACCTTCAGCCTTTAGAGCTACTTTAAAGCATGCATTTATTTATTTTATATGTGCCTGGATTACAGGTTTAATGTGTCAAGAAAAAGGGTTTAAAAAAGTGAAAAATGTATATACTAAACAGGTGGTAATGATGAAAAGGTTCCCCTGCATTCCAGATGAGTTTTTATTTGGGAAAAGCAAATGGAAACCTTCAACCAGAAATAGGGTTGATTTACTAAAACTGGAGAGTGCAAAATCTGGTGCCATTCTGCATAGAAACCAATCAGCTCCCAGGTTTTTTTTTAATTGAACAAGCTGAAGTTTGAAGCTGATTGACTACCATGCACAGTTGCACCAGATTTTGCACACTCCAGTTTTAGTAAATTCACCCCATTGTCTGTTATCCCCTACTACAGGGGGTCAGTATAATATGGCATGTCATCTCATTGAAGTCGTTCTCCAATTATTGCTCTGCACAGTTATTTAACAGTCTTTTTAGATAGAGGGCCAAAAGTACCTATGGAGTAAAAAATTGTGTTATTTCCATTTTCCAAGATAATAATGGCAAAACACACTGCTATACAAATTAAAATTGGTTCTCTAAACACAACAATAAAGTATAACTCCTTCCATGACTTTCCAAATCACCTGCATCTCAACATCACTGAGCTTTTTTGTGAGGTTCTAGAATACAAATTAGATATTTCCTTCCTTTACCCCTCAAGGAACTTTCTTCTTGAAAAAAACCACTGCACACAGGTCAGGACTTAGCAGCACTTCATGGAAGGCTGAAAATATGGTGAATGCAAAAAGTAGCACATATTGCTATTTAATTCACTTACCACCTGAATGGGCTGAATCAGGGGCAGACTGACCATTTGGAAACTTGGGCACTGCCCGAGGGCCCGGGGTCAGTAGGGAGCCCATGAGATGTCCTGGTACCTTTTTCATAGGCTTTTTTGAGTTTGGGCAAGGACACAGGGGCCCCATGATCCCATATTGCCCGGGGCCCCCATGAGTTGTCAGTCCGCCATTGGGCTGAATATGAGTGGGCTATTCAGACATTTTGAACAGCTAGTTTCTGACTTACCAAAGCTTCATTGGCAGTAGATGCCTCCAGTTTGACTTCAAGATGTGATAGTGCTTCATCCAAGTCTTGCAGAGCAGGGTCTTTGGGCAAATGCATGGGGTCAGAGGTTACTGACAATTTATTCACGTGATACTGGATGCAAGAAAACAGAAATTAATAATTATAATAATTTACCACATAATATTGTATGTCTAGTGAATACAGTTGAGTAAAGCTCAAAATCCCCATAATAGCTTTGATTTCCATACATGCAAATGTATTGGGAGCACTGCACAGTCTATTCCAAATAAAAACATGTAGAAACATGTTTAAAATTTGTTATTTCTTTACTGAAAGTTAAAAACTGGAATATTAGGCTGTTCAAAAAAATAGTAATGTCTGCATTTTTCTTTACAAACTCAAACATTTACTGTATAAACTGAAAAATACTTGTATTCAGATGCTTATATTTAGAAAAATACTTTATATTAGAACTAATATTTAGTCGTATAACCACTGTTTCTGAGAACTGCTTCTGTGTTGCATGGAGTCAATCAACTACTGGCACCTGTGAACAGGTATTCCAGCCCAGGAAGATTTCACTACATTCCACAGTTCCTCTGCACTTCTCGGTTTTACCTCAGAAACAGCATTTTTTATGTCACCCAACAAGTTTTCTATTGGATTAAGGTCCTGGCCACTCCATAGCGTTAATCTTGTTGTTATGGAACCAAAATGCTGCTCGCTTACTGGTGTGTTTGGGGTCGTTGTCTTGTTGGAACACCCATTTCAAGGGCATTTCCTCTTCAGCATAAGCAACATGACCTCTTCAAGTATTCTGATGTATTCAAACTGATCCATGATCCCTGGTATGCGATAAATAGGCCCAACACCGTAGTATGAGAAAACATCCCCATATCATGATGCTTGCGCAACCATGCTTCACTGTCTTCACAGTGTACTGTGGCTTGAATTCAGTGTTTGGGGGGTCGTCTGACAAACTGTCTCCGGCCACTAGACCCAAAAAGAACAATCTTACTTTCATCAGTCCACAAAATGTTGCACCATTTCTCTTTAAGCCAGTCAATGTGTTCTTTGGCAATTGTAAGCTCATCAGCACATCGTTTTTTCCAACAGTGGGACTTTGCGGGGGCTTCTTGCTGATAGCTTGGCTTCACATAGGCATCTTCTAATTGTAACAGTACTCACAGGTAACTTTAGACCTTCTTTGATCACCCTGGATCTGATCATTGGCTGAGTCTTTTGCCATTCTGGCTATTCTTCGATCTATTCGAATGGCAGCTTTCTTTTTTCTTCCACGTCCTTTTGGTTTTGGTTTCCATTTTAAAGCATTTGAGATAATTTTAGCTCAGTAGCCTATCAGTTTCTACACTTCTTTATTTGTTTTCCCCTCTCCAATCAACTTTCTAATCGTTCTTCTGAACTTTGTCTGGAACGACCCAATTTATGTTCAGACAGAAATGCACTATACCCAGCATGTACAACATTTGCTGCCTTCGTCCTTAAATAAGGTCCACCTGTTTGCCACCTGTTTTTTCACAGATTGAATGACCTCACTAATAGAACTCCACATTGCTATTATTTTGAACATGTCCCTTTCAATTAATGATTCAATTACACAGAATCAGCAGCATGCATGTCATGACTGTTGGGTCTGTTGGTTTTCTATTACTCTACTACACCTACTACTAAATTATTTTCCATGTAGAAATATAATTTATACCAAAAACAGTGATTGATCTGGTTAATGGTGTTGGACTGCTATTATTTTGAACACAGCTGTATATACTGTATTTTTCACTCCATAAGACGCACTTTTTTCCCCCCAAAAAAGGGGGGAAAATGTCAGTGTGTCTTATGGAGCGAATATAAAGCAGCCGGTCCGGTATTTCTGCCGCCACCATGTCAGAATACCGGGCTGGCCGCTCAGCTGTTCTCTCCTGCAAGGCCTTACCTGTTCCTCGTTCCAGCGCTGCACAGTCTTCTCGCGCTGGATTCTGTGACAGCCGGGTGGCAACTGCGCATGCGCTGCGCTTTGTGAATGGTCCAGTGTTTTCTGGGACACATGACAGGTCCCAGAAGGCGCCGGGCCATTCACAAAGCGCAGCGCTTCTCGCGCATGCGCAGTGGGCACCCATCTGTCACAGAAGCTGGCGCGGGAAAGAAGAGGGAAAGACAACGCCGCTGAAGTGGGAGCGGGTACCTGTCAAATTCAGGTACCCGCTCCCCCTCCCTCCCCAAAGGTCAGCAGTCTCTGGTCATCCCCTGTACTGTCTGCAGTCTCTGGTCATCCCCTGCACTGTCTGCAGTCTCTGGTCATCCCCTGCACTGTCTGCAGTCTCTGGTCATCCCCGTCTCTGTCTGCAGTCTCTGGTCATCTGTACTGTGTCCCTGGTATTTTCCCTGTACTATGTCCACAGTCTCTGGTCATCTCCTGTACTGTGTCCGCAGTCTCTGGTCATCTCCTGTACTGTGTCCGCAGTCTCTGGTCATCTCCTGTACTGTGTCCGCAGTCTCTGGTCATCTCCTGTACTATGTCCGCAGTCTCTGACTGTCTCCTCTATTTTGTCTGCAGTCTCTGACCATCCCTGTACTGTGTCCGCAGTCTCTGGTCATCTCCTGTACTGTGTCCGCAGTCTCTGGTCATCTCCTGTACTATGTCCGCAGTCTCTGACTGTCTCCTCTAGTTTGTCTGCAGTCTCTGACCATCCCTGTAATGTGTCCGCAGTCTCTGGTCATCTCCTGTACTGTGTCCGCAGTCTCTGGTCATCTCCTGTACTGTGTCCGCAGTCTCTGGTCATCTCCTGTACTATGTCTGCAGTCTCTGGTCATCTGTACTATGTCCGCAGTCTCTGACTGTCTCCTCTAGTTTGTCTGCAGTCTCTGACCATCCCTGTACTGTGTCCGCAGTCTCTGGTCATCTCCTGTACTGTGTCCGCAGTCTCTGGTCATCTCTTGTACTATGTCTGCAGTCTCTGGTCATCTCCTGTACTATGTCCGCAGTCTCTGGTCAATCCTGTAGTATGTCCGCATCTCAATCTCCTGTAGTATGTGCGCAGTCTCTGGTCATCTCCTGTAGTATGTGCGCAGTCTCTGGTCATCTCCTGTAGTATGTCCGCAGTCTCTGGTCATCTCCTCTACTGTGTCCGCATCCAGTGTAGTGACATCTTCTGTACTGTGTCCGCAGTCTCTGGTTGTACTGTGTCCGCAGTCTCTGGTCATCTCCTGTACTGTGTCCGCAGTCTCTGGTCATCTCCTGTACTGTGTCCGCAGTCTCTGGTCATCTCCTGTACTGTGTCCGCAGTCTCTGGTCATCTCCTGTACTGTGTCCGCATCTCCTTGTACTGTCTTTGGTCATCTCCTGTACTGTGTCCGCAGTCTCTGGTCATCTCCTGTACTGTGTCCCCAGTCTCCCCAGTGGTCATCTCCTGTACTGTGTCCCCAGTCTCTGGTCATCTCCTGTACTGTGTCCGCAGTCTCTGGTCATCTCCTGTACTGTGTCCGCAGTCTCTGGTCATCTCCTGTACTGTGTCCGCAGTCTCTGGTCATCTCCTGTACTGTGTCCCCAGTCTCTGGTCATCTCCTGTACTGTGTCCCCAGTCTCTGGTCATCTCCTGTACTGTGTCCCCAATTCATCTCCTGTACTGTGTCCGCAGTCTCTGGTCATCTCCTGTACTGTGTCCGCAGTCTCTGGTCATCTCCTGTACTGTGTCCGCAGTCTCTGGTCATCTCCTGTACTGTATCCAAGTCTCTGGTCATTCCCTGTACTATGTCTGCAGTCCATTGGTACAGAATATTTTTTTTTTCTTGTTTTTCGCCTCTAAAACCTAGGTGCGTCTTATGGTCAGGTGCGTCTTATTGAGCGAAAAATACGGTACATATCTACTGACACAAATCTAAAAACTAACAAAGATTATATTCTTATCTGCCTTAAACACTCACATACTTGTCTATGAAACTACCAAGAGACTCCAAATATGCATGTCTATCACACCATTCAATCGTTTCTGGTAATAACAGGCCAAACTAGCTGCAAGTTGCTGTCAACACTCCACAAATTGCTAATATTGCGCAATTTTCAAAGACAGATGAGTGAAATACCTGAAGGGCAGCAAAAGCCATCATCTCCTCTTCAGTGCATTCTGTTTCCTCCAATAGCACCGCCCAACGGGCTTGCTCAAAAAGCAGGTTTATCCGGACAGCATCCATCTAAGAGATGTGCCAATTATTTATTTCATGAGTTTATCAATATCTGCAAAACTCTAGGCACGCATTGCTCTAAATAGGTTCTTTCTGCAAACATGCCTACAGTATATTATTTATTACCTTTGAGTCCAAGTCATGGAAAGTGAAATATTTAAACTGCAGCCATAGTCTGTCTCCTTCTTGTACCCCCTGCTGCATTAGGGATTTGGAAGAGTCAAGCCATCTGTAAAGCACAGAGTAAGAAAGTGAGGATTCTGATCCATCTTTGATCAGTGTCTAGGATTCTTGCTCTCCTCAGTCTATTGCTGATCTGCTGGTATGAGGAATATTTTCAGAAACCAGTGTTATGAGGATCACAGTTCCTAAAGCCAGATTCACCTTACTACATTAAGGTAGCACATGGTAAATGGTCCCACAATGCACAGTACCATATATAACTGCTTGTAGCATGTTGCAGTGGCATATATTTTGAATGGCACCCCAATGAAACTTTGTTAAGGACCCTACAGATGTGAACCATCCGCATTGGGTTGGGATGTTTAAAAATTAGCAAAAGTATAAACTGTATAATAATCTAATCATTAATCTACTGTAGATCAAGGGTTTCCAAACTGCGGTCTGTGGGTCGAACATGGCTCTATGGTTGTCTGTATGCAGCTCTTGGGGGACTGTTCTTCCCACTGATACAAGGCAATATTCTGCCCACAGACATCAACAATGAGTTACCATTCCTCTTACAGACACAAAAAGTGGAGAACTATTTTTCCCACTGACACCAATAACGGGACACTATTCCTTACACTAACACCAATCATGGGACACTATTCCTTACACTAACACCAATCATGGGACACTATTCCTCCCACTGACATGAATTATGGGGCATCTTTCTTTCCACTGACACCAACTATGGTGCACTATTCCTCCCACTGACACCAATGATGGGGCACTATTCCAGCCACTGACACCGATGATGGGGCACCATTCCACCCACTGACACCCATAATAGAGCACCATTCCACCCATTGACACCAATGATGGGGCACTATTCCTCCCACTGACACCAATGACGGGGCACTTTTTCTTCCACTGACACCAATAATGGGGCACTATTCCTCCCACTGACACCAATGATGGGACACTATTCCTTCCACTGACACCAATGATGAGGCAGTAGTTTTTTTTATTCCCACTGACCACCAAGCCTGAGGCATTGTCTACTCCCACTGACAGAAAATGAAAGCCATGGAAAACTGACCACACTCCATACCTGGCATGAACTGCAGATTTATCCACCACTGATGCTTGTTTGTATCTTTTCTGTATATCCTCAGGGGTGAGTCCAGTGTGGCAAACAGACAGAGCTTTGTAACACTCCTGGCCCTCAGGACTGGCTATGAAGTGTGAAGGTATCCCCCCTATCAGCACCTGCCCTGCATTAACTGTTATAAAAAGAAGAAAATAGAAATAAGATAGGGAAATCAAGGACATGTGTACTGTAGAAACAAGAAAGAAAAATATTCTTATGGCAACATTTATGACTGTTTCAGTTAGAATTTCCTAATACTGTATATCACTGCATTAATACTGTTACTGGAGACAGCATTGTCCCAATCTTCTGTGAAAGAGAATTGTGGAGGGCCACTCATTTGTGTCATTGTCAGATGGAAAAGTAGAAAGTGCGAATTACACACACACAGAGCCTAATGCAATCCTTTTTAAACTGCCCTTTCATACCCCATTGTGTCATTATGACCCCCAGCTATAACACTTATTTGAGATTCCCAAATCTAGCAATCTGGGCCATGAAGATAAATTAAACTCTGGATGATATGGTCCAGGCACTTTTGACCCTTGACAAACTGAAAGAAGTGGAGGCTTTAACCTACAAAACTCCTATGTATTTTGTTATCTGCACCTCTGCCATATCTTTATGGCCCGGTTTTGGCTCACCTTGCCTAGAGACTCAGTCCTCTAAACTTGAGATGCCTGAGGAAACCCCTTCCCGGAATTTACATGGAGTTTTCTCATTTCTCCACTGACTGTGGTAACGTGTAGAGGGAAGTGGGTGAAAGATGTTCCAAACCTCCAGGGTGATGACTGTGGAATTACTCATTTATGCATTTGTCTCCTATTCTAGTCTTATTAATTACAGGTTTTCACATAGAATCTATCTTGCCCCTACCAAACTTGTGGCTATCCACCTGTCAGCTAAATGTTGGCATTGTACACTATCCTGCTAACTTTGTTAGCCCTGTGATATAAAATTTCTGCACGGGGGTCATCCAGTTTATAAAAGGGACATTATGTTTTAAATTCTTCTGTCTTTTTCTGCCTACTAGGACTTTTCTTAGTATATCTTTTTTTTATGCTCAAAAAGCTTTTTGCTTGCACTGCAAGAAACCGGATACACCCACTGTTGCCTTCTAGAAAGGACTGATCAATTCAATGATACCACTTTACAAGTCTACATATGAACATCAGTAACTATGCTGTACATTTGAAAAGGTGTGAAACTGCTGGCTATCTACGATTCATTCAAATGTTGAAAATGTACAAGAGTGTTTCTCAACCTTTTTTCAGTCAAGGCATCCCATTATAAAATGTAAAAAACCCAAAACCAATAGTTTTACATAACGTAGCAACATTCCCACATGTAGGACACCCATATTAGAGGTGATTTATTGTTACAAAGCAATAACCTTTGCACACTGGTACTGCACACTAGTATTCCACTATATCTCTTCTCCCTCATTTTCTCTCCCTCACTCAGCTAATGTGACCCCAGTGACAGAGAGGGGCAGGGAGGGCAAACAAGGATGCTGTGCAGATGACCAACATCCTCCTCATCAACCAGTGAGGTTATTGGTTGTTAGGATGCCGGCCGCAGGAACATTGTATTGGTGCACAATGAAAACATGTGGCTTTGTATAACTAAAAGGCGGGCTTGATTAACCTGCTGGCATGTGTACAATTTGTGGGCAATTTTTAAGCATATTGCCAAGGCACACCTGAAGAAACCTGAAGGCACCCCAGGTGCTTGGGCACACTGATTGAAAATGGCTGATGTACACCATGTTTTATATGTCCCCTGTATGGTTGGGCGAAGGCTGTCCCTGTCCCCCATCCCGCTGAACACCAGTGACATGGTTGCTCACCCTTGGAACCTGTAAAAAGTGGAGGGATGTGGTTGTTTGTTTGCTGTTTGACCACAAATCATTTTGTATGCAGGGCCTTGGCCGTATTTCCTAATATTATTGTGTGCTTGTCCAGGATCAATACCTTTCATGTTCACTGCACAGGCAGTTTGGAGGGGAGTTGTTTAAAATATGGTATTATATTTTATGCTTATGTGTAGTTAGTTTTATTGTCTTTTTTTACTTTGTATTAATTAAAAAAAAACAACAAACCTTTCCAGAGAGAAATAAGGGAGCTGCCATTGCAGACCTCATTCCCAAAATGTTTGCTGCCTCGCTGATATTCAGATCCACTGGGTTCAACACTATATGATCCACTGACCAGAAACAAGTGTGTATATTAGAGAAATTAAAGTAAGGTTGGAAGAGGCATGTTCTGACCAAGGAGCAGTGAAGAAACTCAGCTAGAGAGTTGTGTACCGTGGGCCAAAAGTGCACCCTGGCGTGTCCAAACCTAACCTCAATCACCCATGCTAAAAGCAAGAAGACATTGGAGACATCCTTTTTAGAGATGAGCGAATCGAACATGGCGAAGTGGAATTCGTTTCGAATATCAGGAAAAATTAGATTCGCGCCGAATCCGAAAATTAGCAAACTTCGGATGCACGAATCGAATTTTCCCAAAAATGGCGGCGACATGTGTGGCGACGGAGCGGGGATCTCTGGGAAGGCGCGCAGACAAGGCGCGCTGACCCATAATGCATTCATTCATGACATGTGATCGCATTAGCCAATCAGCAGCCAGCCAGCCAGCACTGTGTAATGGTGGAGCTATAAATTGCGGCCATCTTACAATTCTCCATTAGCCTCCGGTCATTCAAGAGAGACAGACCTGTCTGTATTAGGGACAGAGTTAGGGCCAGAGAGACTTTAGGGCCACAGAATCGTTACTTAGGGACACAGAATCGTTACTTAGGGACACAGAATCGTTACTCAGGGACACAGAATCGTTACTCAGGGACACAGAATTGTTACTCAGGGACACAGAATTGTTACTCAGGGACAGACACAGAATTGTTACTCAGGGACACAGAATTGTTACTGAGGGACACAGAATCGTTACTGAGGGACACAGAATTGTTACTCAGGGACACAGAATTGTTACTCAGGGACACAGAATTGTTACTCAGGGACACAGAATTGTTACTGAGGGACACAGAATTGTTACTCAGGGACACAGAATTGTTACTCAGGGACACAGAATTGTTACTCAGGGACACAGAATTGTTACTCACACAGAATTGTTACTCAGGGACACAGAATTGTTACTCAGGGACACAGAATTGTTACTCAGGGACACAGAATTGTTACTCAGGGACACAGAATTGTTACTGAGGGGCACAGAATCGTTACTCAGGGACACAGAATTGTTACTCAGGGACACAGAATTGTTACTCAGGGACACAGAATTGTTACTCAGGGACACAGAATGTTACTCAGGGACAGACACAGAATTGTTACTCAGGGACACAGAATTGTTACTCAGGGACACAGAATTGTTACTGAGGGACACAGAATCGTTACTCAGGGACACAGAATTGTTACTCAGGGACACAGAATTGTTACTCAGGGACACAGAATTGTTACTCAGGGACACAGAATTGTTACTCAGGGACACAGAATTGTTACTCAGGGACACAGAATTGTTACTCAGGGACACAGAATTGTTACTCAGGGACACAGAATCGTTACTGAGGGACACAGAATTGTTACTCAGGGACACAGAATCGTTTACTCAGGGACACAGAATCGTTACTCAGGGACACAGAATCGTTACTGAGGGACACAGAATCGTTACTGAGGGACACAGAATCGTTACTCAGGGACACAGAATTGTTACTCAGGGACACAGAATTGTTACTCAGGGACACAGAATTGTTACTGAGGGACACAGAATCGTTACTGAGGGACACAGAATCGTTACTCAGGGACACAGAATCGTTACTCAGGGATTGTTACTCAAGGACACAGAATTGTTACTGAGGGACACAGAATCGTTACTCAGGGACACAGAATTGTTACTCAAGGACACAGAATTGTTACTCAGGGACACAGAATCATTACTCATGGACACAGAATTGTTACTGAGGGACACAGAATCGTTACTCAGGGACACAGAATCGTTACTCAGGGACACAGAATTGTTACTGAGGGACACAGAATCGTTACTCAGGGACACAGAATCGTTACTGAGGGACACAGAATCGTTACTCAGGGACACAGAATCGTTACTCAGGGACACAGAATCGTTGAATTAAAGAGTATGTCAGATAACAGGCAGAGGAGTGGCAGAGGAGGCAATGTTTCAGGAGCGAGCAGACGTGGCAGCAGAGGAAGGGGTCGAGGCAGCACTAGTCGCAGCCAGAGGCCAGTGCTCCCGGTGTCATCCAGCGGTCGTGTCTCCACCGACAACCCTGCCGTCATCGATTGGTTGGCTCGGTCATCTTCCTCTTCCCAGGTCACCTCTGACACCTACAGCCAACGGTCGGTGGGTACGTCAGACACAACCGTTAGTTGGCATGGCCCGGGAGCAAGCCCACTGAAATCACGTGTCCTCTACCTGCCCCTGTCCTTTGGTGTTCCCTCACCAAGCGAAGTATCGCATGCTGTGGGCTCAGCCCCACTGTACAGTGAGGAAGAGCTAACAGAGGGCGGTCAGGAACGGGGGGAGACATCCGCCTCTTCAGCAGCCAGGCAAAAGAAGTACTGGCGAGGAGAATGGCTCGGTAGCCGGTCTAGAGACAGGTCTGTCTCCTGACCCACACGCAGCCGAGGGGGCTAGTAGTGAGGCGGAGACCCTAATTGATGATGATGAGGCTGATCGCACTTGGCAGCCTCGTCGTCATCTGCCAGGCCCGTAATCTGCCATGGGCCCCCGTACCAACTCCTCATGCTGCTGCCAGGCCCGTAATCTGTCATGGGCCCCTGTACCGCCTCCTCATGCTGCTGCCAGGTCCAGAGTGTGTCATGGGTCCCTGTACGGCCTCCCATTGCTGCTGTCTCCATCGCCACACTCTGCCATGTGCCACTTTCAGGTCTCCTCACACTGCTGGTGGGTTCCATTTTGTCATAGGGTGCTGGCAGATTACGGGCCTCCCATTGCTGCTGCCAGGCCCGTAATCTGTCATGGGCCCCTATACCGCCTCCTCATGCTGCTGCCAGGTCCAGAGTGTGTCATGGGTCCCTGTACGGCCTCCCATTGCTGCTGTCTCCATCGCCACACTCTGCCATGTGCCACTTTCAGGTCTCCTCACACTGCTGGTGGGTTCCATTTTGTCATAGGGTGCTGGCAGTTACGGGCCTCCCATTGCTGCTGCCAGGCCCGTAATCTGTCATGGGCCCCTGTACCGCCTCCTCATGCTGCTGCCAGGTCCAGAGTGTGTCATGGGTCCCTGTACGGCCTCCCATTGCTGCTGTCTCCATCGCCACACTCTGCCATGTGCCACTTTCAGGTCTCCTCACACTGCTGGTGTGTTCCATTTTGTCATAGGGTGCTGGCAGATTACGGGCCTCCCATTGCTGCTGCCAGGCCCGTAATCTGTCATGGGCCCCTGTACCGCCTCCTCATGCTGCTGCCAGGTCCAGAGTGTGTCATGGGTCCCTGTACGGCCTCCCATTGCTGCTGCCAGGCCCGTAATCTGCCATGGGCCCCTGTACCGCCTCCTCTTGCTGCTGCCAGGTCCAGAGTGTGTCATGGGTCCCTGTACGGCCTCCCATTGCTGCTGTCTCCATCGCCACACTCTGCCATGTGCCACTTTCAGGTCTCCTCACACTGCTGGTGGGTTCCATTTTGTCATAGGGTGCTGGCAGATTACGGACCTCCCATTGCTGCTGCCAGGCCCGTAATCTGCCATGGGCCCCCGTACCGCCTCCTCATGCTGCTGCCAGGTCCAGAGTGTGTCATGGGTCCCTGTACGGCTTCCCATTGCTGCTGTCTCCATCGCCGCACTCTGCCATGTGCCACTTTCAGGTCTCCTCAAACTGCTGGTGGGTTCCATTTTGTCATAGGGTGCTGTATGGCCTCCCATTGCTGCTGCCTCCACCGCCACACTGTGGCTCCACACTCTGGTTTTGGCCCCGTGACTGCCCAAATGAGTGAAGTGTGCGGTGATTCTAAGATCGACGGCACTCATCTGCATGTCATACTGACTGACAGTATTATTTCTCTTCCCCAGCAGACTCCAAGAGCATTTAAATTAAAGGTACAGTGTTCTGCACTAATATAAAGGCTCTCTGAAGCCTAGAAACACCCTTTTTATAAGTTAAATTCGCAGCGAATATATTCGACTCGAATCGAATTTATTCCGCGAATTCGCCGCATCAGCCGAATCGAATTTTTGAATAATTCGCTCATCTCTAATCCTTTTCATCAGCCAGTTTTTTGCATGGACCCTGATAGAGCCAAAGCCCCAAAATGCACCCATCATGGTGCCGGTAGGGACATGTGCTACTGAGACCAATAGAGTAAAATCAGAAGACCCAGCAGCAAGCTCTAAGGTCTCTCCATTAGAGGAAACAAGCAGGTTATCACCTGGAGGAACACCTACACTGCTAAGCCCTGATCCCCTGGCCACATCAGCAGAGCTGCTGATATCGGTGGAGGCAGTAGAGATATCAGGGATGGAGCTATATGGATTACTCACCTTGATCTGAGTTGAATTTGATAGCCTGGCTGTACACAGAGGAGGAATTGAAAAGGGAGCTACAATAAGTAGCACATGAAGATACAGGGTTAGTTCCCAGGAGTTGTCTTGAACGGAGTTTGAAGCCAGACTTACTACACTGGAGAAGATTCATGCAACACACCAGAGAGAGGTGGCCATGCTCAAGATGGATGATAGTGAAAATAGAAGCTGCAGAAATAATGTCCACATCTGCAGTAACCCAGAGGCCACTGTAGAGAGAGTTCTCTGTACCACAGTAACAGCGCTCTTAAATGTACCTTTTGGACAAAGAGTTCTCTGACATTGAACCAGATCAAGTTCACAAGGTGGCAGGTCCTATGGACCACTTAGGGAACATGTAGAGGGATGGATTGTGCTGCATTCATTTTTGTACCCTAATGGAAGAAGTCATGCGGAGGGCCTGGGAGAAGAAGTCAGTCAAATTTGATGGCCGACATTTACATTCCCACCTGGTGTATCCTGCCAGACCTTGGATTTAAGCCACCTTCTGCACCCTCTACTTCAGTACATTCAAGTTGCTGGAGAAACGTACCGATGGGGCTATCTGTCCCATTTACACTAGAGGTAGACTGGTTGACTATTTTCCCTACACCGCATGCAAAACAATTTGCAGTTCTGTTTGACTCTCTGAACTTTTTTATTTCATCATTTTTTTTAGGCCAGGTTGCAGGGTATTATGTGCACATTACTCTCTACAACAGAGATATGTACTCTTTTGATGTGAGAACTTTCACTAGTTTATTCCTAATTGAAATGTCCAGGGAACGCATAGTAGTAATGTACTAGGAGAACTCGATACACTAGTGTTACCCTATAGTTCATTGTTAATCTTTTAGTTGTGATAAATTTTGATTCTTAAGATTTGGTTGCGATGGTATACAACCTCATGTGAGGAGAGAGCAAATATTATATAGGTTTTGTATGTGGATTGTTTCAATGGGAGATCACATCGGGTTGGGGGGAAGCACTTCCCAGGCTCAAACATTATACACACTGGGGTTGATCTACAAAAGGTAAATAGATGATGCACTTTGCAAATTGCAGTTGCATTCAGTAAATGAGCAGAAGCTGTGCTGATGTCCATCATCCAATCATGTGCAAGCAAAAATATTGCTTTTTTATTTTGCTTCCACATGATTAGGTATTCTTTGCAAAGTGATACTTTACCTCATTTATTAAGCTCTGAAGCAACTACATTTGAGGAGTGCAACTGCACTTTGCAAAGTGCACAGTCTATTTGTTGAGATACGCCCACTGTCTTAGATGTGGCTTGGGAAGATTCCATGGGAAATATTATGGGATGTATGTGTGTTTATGTGTATTAGCTTAGTGGGGGGATGTCTCCAGCAGCCCTACCTCCTGATGGGATTGTCTGGTGGTGTGACATTTGAATACATGTGTGTCTCTTGTTGCTAAGTGTAGATTGCCCCACCCTGTGTCATTATGCAGGGAGGGGGGGGACTGCCCCCTGAGTGTATAAAAAGCCAGTTCGAGTTTCAAAAAAAGAGTTCCATGTTCAGACAGATTGCTGTCGCCTAGTTTTGTATGGTCAGGAAGTACCCAAGCGCAGACTGGGTCGGTTCCGTTCAGGGGTGGATTGACAACTGATGGGGCCCCTGGGCAATAGGGGATCATGGGGCCCCTGTGTCCTCGCCCACACCCAAAAAAAAACTATGAAAAAGTCTATAAAAAGGTACCAGGGGCATCTCATGGGGCCCCCTACTGACCCCGGGTCCTCAGGCAGTGCCCGAGTGCTCGAATGGTCAGTCCACCCCCTGGTTCCGTTGCAGGCCTGACATCCATAATTTGTACAATGAGAAGGCAGAAATGTCTGAAATAAGAAAACTAACGCAGCCACCACAAGGTCTGGAAAACTGCAAAAAAAGTTTTGGTTTAAGGTTTAGATACACTTTAGGTTATGCCATGTGAAAGGGACAATGTAGCAAATATAAAATAGATGTTATTCCAGTTTGGCTACAAAAGTGGAAAAGCATGTCAAGTAGTTAACAACAATCAGAAACTGATTCATTTTTTCAAAGTTTTGTAGCCTGCTGAAAAACAAATGTGAGATGTTGGACTTGCATATCATCAGGGCTGGATGTACCATTTGAAACAATATTCCTGTGCCTATATGGGTGGCAGAGGTAAAGTTATGATTTTTCCATGTATTGACCACATATTGTTTTACCATCATCAATTTAACAGTCATCTCATATAAGTTTTTTTTTCTCTACAACAATATTCTGAGCCAAGTAAAGAGCTGTAAAATAATAAAATTTCTGCTTAAAAGCAGCTATCCTAATAAAGGGGACTGGCTTTGGGTACAAACGATTGTGTGCCTACAGGCCCCAGAGATGTAAATCCATCTCTACATACCCTACTGCATTAGTTGGGCTATTGGTGCAGGCTTTTAATGAAAGTCTCCAGTGGAAGTAGAAGTTGACTTCATCAAATATACATACTATACATAGGTGGAAAGTGTTATTTAATTACCGTTTGAAGGCTGGAAGGATGTAAGATCAAAGATCTCCTGAGTCACTGGGGTCTTTTTCTTTCTTCTTCTTTTTTTCTCTCTTCTTCTGGTGCTTTTAGGAAAGAAAGTTCCTCTGGATGTCTGATACCTGGTAAGAGTAGGTCTAGTGAATACTGGATGAGGCCAGATCTAAAGTGTCTATAAAGGAATCTGCTACTTATGAATCAGTCACTTACCCAGAACTTTACAGACTTCAGCGCAGGAACTGAATGTGGTACTGGAAAAGCAGACTCGAATCCTCAATGAACGCTGGTTAGGCAAAGATAAAATAATTGGTTTGTGCTGGGGCATGAAGTGGAGAAGGGCATCTGCCTGGATACCATATTTGTCCAGGGTCCAGTTTGTTTTCAGAAGCCACTGACGCTTCTGTTTCCACCACAAAGCATGATCAGACCAGTCCTGTGAAACACCTACATTGAGACACAGAAAGAGAGAGACATCCACTAAATGAAACAGGCACAAGTATTTTTTCCACTAGAGCTATGAAGAAAAATTACACAAGTGAAAGGACCCTTGGTTTAATATTGCTATTTCCTTCAAATGGAATGGAAATTATTTCTTCTCAGGCATCTCCTCACCCTGTAGAACACTTAGTCTGGGTATACACACATTGTTTTTGCTTTGTTCAATTCCTCCATCCATACAAGCAGCTAATCGATTTAAAGTTTTCCAGCAGTCCCATTCAACAGAAGTCAATCCAACTTCTGTTGGACAGATAAGGCCATACATAGATCAAAATTTTGGTAGTCCCTGTTGAACAAGCTGAATTTCAATCTGGCTTCATCCAGCTTTAAGGTCAAATTATAGCTATTTACATACCAGGTACACAGAGTGGTCAATTTTTAAAAGTTTGCACCCAAGATTCACACAGCTTTCACCCAGCATTTAGACATTTTCTAACTGGTTTTAACTGGAACATTATGTGTGAATCTTGGGTGCAAACATTTATAAATTGACCACTCAATGTACTTAAAAATGGAAACCTCACATCAAGCATTTTTATTTAGTATTTTTAGGGCCTACATTTTGACTTTGTTTAGAAAATGTGTACAGGCAGGGCATAATAGCTACATAGATTTCAGTGGGCTGCCCATAGACAAACTCATAGATGGATCAATGGGCAGCTTTCTCATGTTTACACAGCTAGCTGGCTTGGGGAAAGACTTGCAAACAAAGCCACAGCTCTACTAGGTTGCCAGCTGTGAATTCTACCTTTGGCAGATAGAATATTGCTATCTGCTCTCTGCTAAACACTGCTAGGTTACTTCACAGTGCGCACTACATTTTATAGCCCATTCATAAAATGCAAGGCGCAATGTGGAGCCTGCCATACCTCCCAGGTTTCTCTTTGCTAAACACAACATAGAGTGATGTCTATGATTGGGGGGAAGTCAGTTACATGACTTTGACAGGTCATGTAACCAGGCTCTCCTCCAGCTTTTAACATTTTATTTCATTTATTCATTTTTATATATTGTATGTGTCTGAGTGTTGAGTGCAAGAACGAGCTTTGGGAAATATTTATCATAACTTGAGCAAAACCAGGTGGCTGGTGTTGACCAAAAAACAAGTTTGGTGTTGACCAAAAAAAAAAACTTTTTCAAGGCATCTAACACATAGTTTGACAAATTGAGGTGCATTTTATGTGATTTTGCACATTCTTCTGTGTGTTTTAAATCATACCTGAAAAGTGCCATAAAACCTGGAATAAATTTATGAAAACACATCAAGACGACATTAAAAGGCACATGTTATTCTGTACCTTTTCGTTCAACTGTGATCTGCAGAATTCTCATTACTGTTTAGATTTTCTATGTGATCATGTTGGTATAATTAACCGAATAACTGGAGTAATAGGTACCAATAGATATAACTGTTACCTAAGGCTACTGTAGAGTCATATTAAACTACAAATCAAGAAAAGGGGCAAAAAAAGGAAATTTACTTATATTAATTCTTAATCTTTTTTTAATTAATACTACAGTATATGAAAACATTTTCGTGACAGTAGATAATAAAAGGACTGTCTTATACAGCCAGGTCTAAGTATATTTACAGACTATTGCTGTAAAGAAAATTAACTCCATGCCTTAGCTTGCCTGACAATAATTTCCTGTACGGAGTCATACTGTCCACTGTCTGCTCAGCTCCTACTATATTCTCTGCCTTTGTACAAAAAAAAACTTCCTCTTTTGTATCCTTTATGTTATTTTGGTGTCTAAACTGTCAGCTATTGACAGGAATAGGAGGAAGTACACACAACCACATAGCAGGCCTGGGATAAGCTGATTACATTAGAAAGAACATTTAAAGGATATAATCAATTTTCAGATAACAGTGTTAATATAAATTTGAAATTGTAGAATGTTATGGCAAACTGTTCATTACCTATTTTTTCCACCAATTGTAACATGACGCCTCCAATGTGTGTTTCCCCGGTCACACGAAGCGTCACTGGCTCAGCATTTTCTCCTAGTTCCTCAATATAGATCCTCAGCTCCCAAGAGGAATCTATGTATTCTCCACTTGATGTCTTAATTCCAGCCATTCTTCAAGAGTATCTAAACCAACAACAAAAATGTAATATATTTCAGCTTGCCAATCCTTATACGTCATGGCTGCATTAGTTTTCTGTTTTTCTTTCCTTTTTCTTCCCCTGGTGATCCAGCCAGTGTTAGGGTGGGTCCTCTATCTATGGAAGAGCAGTAGAGACATCCTTGGATAGCAGCACTTTCTGGAGAAGATAGTGTTAAGCTGCCCAAGCACTGTACGAATGTCAGGTTGTTCTTGATGAACTGGCCGAAATTCTCAAAGTGGGTGGCCCTGTCAGCCACCTCTTGCCCGATATCCCTCAACTGAAAGTTTTTTATTGCAGGATTTTCAGTTGACATGTGGCTTTTTCCCCAACTATGTTCATATGATGTTTTTGCACGAGAACATTTGCTATTTTAACATGTATTTCCTGCACCATACAACTTACAACACCTGCAGACACAGCTGCCTTGTTTTCTCACCAGACATAGTGGGGTTCATTTACTAAAGGCAAATAGACTGTGCACTTTGCAAGTGGAGTTGTACTAATTTTTCTTAGTAAATGTAATGTGGCAAAGCTCCACTTTATTAAAAAAAACATTGTTTCTTGCATGATTGGATGATGGAAATTATTATTATTATTATACAGTATTTATGTAGCGCCAAAAGGTATGCTCATCGCTGTACAATAGCAAGGGGGACAGAACATGAGACAAGACAGTAACAATACAATACATGAGGGGTTCGAGGGCCCTGCTCTTTCGAGCTTACAATCTAGGAGAGCTTGATTACATTTACTAAGGTTTGGGAAAAACAAGTGCAAATGCACTTGCAAAGTGCACAAACTATTTGCCTTTAGTTAATCTACCCCTTTGAGTGCTCCCCAGTGAACATTACAGCAGTTTGTTCATACAAAAAGTGCTTCATCCAAAAAACTATGACCAATTAAAAAAAATTATCCTTAACCTTAGCCTGAACTCTAACCGTTAATAAAAGGTTCACCTTTAATGAAAAAATAATATTTTTACAGGTAAAAAAATTTGCATTTTGTATTTATTTTCTTACACCGGAGCTTGTAATGCAAGGATATCCAATCTTTTGACTTTCCTGGGTCACACATATGTCTTGGGCCACACATAAAATACATGAACAATAAGTAGAGCTGAGGAGCATAAAAAGTCTGGCAGATCACAAGTTAATGATCACTGACAGGGCTTAAAATTTCGAGTCTAGACCTACTAGCCAGGCACAAACCTTACTCTCCACCAGTTGCCCCACCCAAACTTGCCCAGGTCTGCCTCCATCCCCACCACCGGCACACCCCACCCCGACCCCACCCGCACCCTGCCCCCCAACCCCATCCCCAGCCCTGCCCCCAACCACGCCCCCTTAAAGATTATGAAATTACATTTTTCTTTAGAATAAAGAGTCAAAAATATAAAAACGTATACAGTAATGTATATCCCAGCTCCCCTGTACTCCATTATAGTGATATGACATGTACACAGTAATGTATATCCCAGCTCCTCTGTACTCCATTATAGTGATATGACATGTATACAGTAATGTATATCCCAGCTCCTCTGTACTCCATTATAGTGATATGACATGTACACAGTAATGTATATCCCAGCTCCTCTGTACTCCATTATAGTGATATGACATGTACACAGTAATGTATATCCCAGCTCCCCTGTACTCCATTATAGTGATATGACATGTACACAGTAATGTATATCCCAGCTCCTCTGTACTCCATTATAGTGATATGACATGTACACAGTAATGTATATCCCAGCTCCCCTGTACTCCATTATAGTGATATGACATGTATACAGTAATGTATATCCCAGCTCCTCTGTACTCCATTATAGTGATATGACATGTATACAGTATGTATATCCCCACTCCCCTGTACTCCATTATAGTGATATGACATGTATACAGTATGTATATCCCAGCTCCCCTGTACTCCATTATAGTGATATGACATGTATACAGTAATGTATATCCCAGCTCCCCTGTACTCCATTATAGTGATATGACATGTATACAGTAATGTATATCCCAGCTCCCCTGTACTCCATTATAGTGATATGACATGTATATAGTACTTACTCCTTGAGTCCCCCGCGGCGGTGGAGAGGATGTCTCCTCTCAGTGGAGGAGAGCGGACCTCTCCTGCACCTGTCCCCCCAGCGATGGTGCCAAAGAAGCCTGAAACTGGAACTCGGAAACCGGAACTCGACTTCACAATGAGGCTTGGAGCGCAGCCGCTCCATCATCTGTGCTCGCCGCTAGAGAATTTCTCCTCGCATTTGGCGAGCGGGCGAGTGGCTTTTTCAAGCCCTGTATAGATCATTACCTATCTGAGTAATAAAACCATTTTTTTGTGTTTTCTTTGCAGGGCCCTCGAACCCCTCGTGTATTGTTCTGTTACTGTATTGTCTCATGTACTGTCCCCCACTATAATGTACAGCGCTCAGCAAACTATTTGGCACTATATAAATACTGTATAATAATATATATATAATACTGTATAATAATTATAAAAGTAAAAGAGGACACTATAAAACTAGAGCAATATCTGACACTGTTTTTGATAAATAAACACATTGATATCTGGTTCGATGGATGTAGTAGCACTTCTCAATGAATTCTCAAGGTGCTCACCAGATATTTTGGTTCTAATTTTGCCTTTTGTGTGCTTCATCCTTGAAAATAGCTGCTCAAAGACTGATGACATGAATAAGGCGTGATTGCAAAGAGTGGAATATTTTTCTTTGGAAAGATAAAACCTATGAAACTCCAGTAAAGAGATACTGTTAAATATTTCTTTGACTGCATGTGTTTGCTAAGTTTAAATGTATTTTTAACTGAAAAACCTAAAAAAAAATCTAGATTTTTAAGGAAGCTTACAATTTTGTGTCTGGCTGCATTCTTAGCTGTCTTGGACTGCATGCAGCCCCTGGGCCACAGATCGGATACCTCTACTTTAAAGCATTCTACCCTCGATCAACAGATGCAATACCAAGCTCCGGCAGAATCTCAGTACACTGGATGCCCATATCTTCCATATGGGCAGGCATTTATTGAATTGCAGGAAGAATCACTTAACTACAAGGGTACTCACCAGCACCCTTGCAGTTCATTGAGAACTACAAGCCGCAATGGCTGACAGTACTTGTAGTTTATTTATCACAGAACTTTGTGAATTAATGATGCAGCAGTCTGGGCAGAGCGTGCTGTTTTTAAATTTTGAGAGTGGGTCCCCTGCCTACTCTCACAGGGAGGGGGGATCAGGGGGGAAAGGAAGCAGGAGCTTGAACATGTGACATGTTCCACCCTAAATACAAGTAACATGTTCCAAAGGTGAACTTGGCCTTTAAACCCTCTCCTTAACCTTAGCCCAGCTCCAAAACCTAACCTTCAACCTAATTTCTAAGCCTACACTAAATCCTTGCTAAAAGTGCATGACCGTAAATATAAGCCTTTGCCAGAATTTTTATATCAGCTTGTGACAGGGAAATTGGTCTATACGATCCCTGGTTAGTAGGATCCTTGCCTGTTTTTAATATTAGAATAAAATGTTAACTTTCATCATAGAAGGGAGTCTACCCAAGTCTCTAGCGTCATTTAGCACCCTTAACAAAAAGGGCAACATGCTTTCATCATATTGTTTGTATACCTCAACGGGCAGACCATCATCACCCGGTGCCTTGCATGTAGGGAAAGCGGCCGTCTCCAACTGCAGTTCCCCCAATGTCAGTGGAGTGTCTAGCAAAATGCGACTCTGCCGTGATAACACTGGTAAGTGAATATTGGCCAAATAGTCAGAAATATCCTCAAGCCTACATGTTTGTTTTGACTGGTATAGAGAAGAATAAAACGAGGCCAATTTCGCATTAGAAGAGTATGGGGCAGTCACAAGCCTGCCATCCCCACCACGCAAGGCGCCAATGACTGTTGCCGGCTGCTGAGCCCTAGCTATCTTAGCTTCCAGTCTGTACACCCTCCTCATAAAACACCAACTTAGAGAAGGTAAATCTAAACCTTAAGCATAACCTAATCCCTAACCCCAAACTCATACCTAACCATTATTATAAGCACATTTGCCACAATACTAGCAACAATATCACACTGGCATCATGTCAAAATAGGTTGATATAACGTAAGGTGCTACTAGATAGGATTTATTTCTTTGCATTTAGCAGCATATTATATACATACACATATTAAATGGTAAAATCAGACGTGGGAAGTAGCATGAATGGAGCAATTCTTCCATTTTGCAACACAACTTTAGCTGTAAACAGTTATAGGGAAGTTTAAGAGGTTAAATTCCCATAAATGAGGATGGGCAGCTCAGTTCATACAAGTGGAACGTCATATGACACACAAGAACTGGGTACACTCCTCATTAAAACAAGAATGGAGGATAACTGGATGTTCTTCATATAGCTTGTCTAAAACTCTGTAAGCTGTCTGCACATTTTTAAAGTCCTTTCTCCCATATGATGCTGCAATGATTTCCTCCTACCATCTAAATCCAAAACATGGCATCAATGCAAAAGATACAAAATCTCTCATTATCTCAGTCATGGCTAATCTCTTGAAAAAGCTAATTACTTGGTTGTCAAATTGTCGTGCAGAACAAGTATACTGCCAGTGAAGTAGAATTCCTAATCTGCATACCTGCTCCATGTTCCTGACACAGAACATTTTGAGCTAAAAGATAAGAATAACTGCCTGCCATCTGGAAGGTTCAGGATCTCAGCAATGGCAGCTCATGTATATGTCATGATAGGATTCCTTAGGCAAGCCATAGATGATTTGATTTTCTTTCCTGCAACCATGGGTTGATTTCCCCATCAACACTGACTGTGTAGATGTGGAAGTCAAGCAGAATCCCTTCCGAGGCATTATTGTGGGAACCTTCCTGGCCAGCAGAACTCAACTGCTAACAGCCATAGCCCTTGGAAGGAATCACATGTAAAAAATGTGATAGGCTGGTTG